GCTGTGTCAGGTGTGCGACACTCTAGTCTCTACCATGCTTGTTCACTCGCATATTAACAACAGGGTAATACAAAACTAGAGTGCCAAATTATTATGCTTCTATCAATAAACACACAAGTCCTTAATATGTCTCCCCGATCTGCCTCACTGTTAGCAATATTTCAATAATTACACACAATCTCACATTTACATAATTATACTTAACATCTAAAAAAATATATATATAGACTAATTTTGTTATCTTATTAATGTGGTAACAAGATTAAGTTACCCATAGAGAAAACAATAAACCTAGATTTTTTACTAGAACAATTATATGCAGATAATTTTCAAAGTTTGTTTTTTAATTGTAAAAAAAATTAAGATCTATGAACGATTTTACAGCACATTAGACACACACACACACACACACACACACACACACACACACACACACACACACACACACACACATGAACAAATAGCCTCAAATGTATTGTATTGGTCTAGCGGTTAGTGTTAGGTACGTGCTCTCGTTCGTTTCATTGGCTTTTGCGGTTTACTGGTGCAACTCGGTGTGAGAAATGACAGAGTGTCGATCCTTTTAATTTACCGTTGACAGACAGTAAATAACATTCAAAATGACGAAAAGACAACCGAAAAACAAACAGATAAATAATATAATAAATATATTATTAGGGATGCGTCGGATGTCTTGTGTGAGATGGACTACCCGGGAGATGGAAGAGATGAATTTATTAAACACTTATAAATGAGATCCTGTAGAAGGGAGGAGAGTGAGACAAATTTCTAGCTGTGAGTGGACTTACGGGAGAACTGGAACTAAATACAGATAAATATAATTCGAGGAAAGTTTAGAATCTCAGTGGTGTTAAGATTAGCATAAAAGAGGGAGATGGAAATGTTTTTTTGTCATTTTAAATTGTATTGCTCGCCATATTGCCTTTGAGTGTGCTTGATGGCTGTATCCGCATTGAATCGAATAGGCTGCTTGGAATACACTCGGGTACATCATGGGAGCTATGGGTGAGATAAAGAGATACGGAGGAAGAGTAAATATGAAGAAAGATCGAAGAGGAGGTTGATGGACTACTTTAAGTGGTGTGGTGGTAAAAAGGCGGACAGGATGGCAGAGGAATACATGTTTCAGCGACTCCAGGTAAATATAAGACAAAAGAGAAACACGGAGGAAGGGAAAATAAGTAAGTGTAGATAGAGGAGGAGGAAGGAGGGAGGTGGTGCGGCACTCAGGTATACTCAGGAGGTTACGATTATAGTATGACACTGAGAGTCTTCTGATTGATACTTACTCTGTTATTTTCCATATCCACCTGGCCGCCACCGCCATATCTACTGAAACCTTGGCCGCCAATGCCATATCACCGCTACCATAGTCAAATGTAACGAGGGTAAAGATGACAACCACCAGCAGCCAAACGACCATCAAGAACTGAATGAATAACACACAACATACCAGAGTTTTTGTTCCCTGACGTGTGACTTTCAACTGAGACACAAAGAATTAAATATTTACCTCGAGCACCTGACGGGATGCAGAACCTTATGTTAATTCTACAAATAAACCTAAAGTGAAAAGATGTTGAATTTACAATAAGTTAATTTTAAACCAAGTGAAGATATGAAGTAGCACGAGGCTGGTGGGGTTGAATGTAGGTTAGGTTAGGTTAGGTTAGGATAAATTAGTTTAAGTTAGGCTTGTTTAGATTAGTTTAGTTAGTGTAGATTAGGGTTAGATTAGGTTAGCATTAGGGTGTTTAATTATCAGGTGAAATAAACTGAGATGGGAGGGCTAAGCTTCATAACTGACAGGTGTATTTCAAGACCAGCAGTAACAGACTCTGAGGTTACCTGACACACTCAACTTATCGTCTTGGTCACCAATTGTGATCCTGGGGACTTGTTCTCCTTTGCCTGCATCAAAATAGAAACAGGTGAAGGTTCTCCTACGTGAATCTTGGAGACGACTGTGTCAGCCTCACTCCATGGCGGGGTATATACTGACATACTGAAGGGCGTCCACCACACAGCAACACTAGCTGGACGGCAACAACAGTCACAGTGATTGACCAGCGTTATCCCGGGGCCAGAAGGTGGTGTTACATCACTACCTGAACGGAATTCCCAACAAAAAGAGTTCCATTATCGTTGGCACATCCTGGAGTGTTGATATACTAATGTTTTACTACTCTGGCAATTAAAGTCTGTTAAATAAGTTAATAAATACAATACTAATGAGCATTTAAAAATTAAGTAGGGTATAATCTCACTGGTTCACGACGGCAAATTCTACAATGTCTTCTTACCAACACTGTTTATTTATGAATTACAAAAATCCCATAGAGGGAGCATTACGATAAGACAGATTTCGTGTGTGTGTGTGTGTATGTGTGTGTGTGTGTGTGTGTGTGTGTGTGTGTGTGTGTGTGTGTGTGTGTGTGATCTCGCTGAAGGAATAATGCTATTATAGAAGGTAAACTAAACTCGTATTCTTCGCTACTGTCAGATGCTCTAAAATCTGGGATAGACATTAGGTTACTGCGCTGGTTGACACTCACAGACAAATGATATTAGTGGACGTGGATGACCAGGTTGGTATTGTTATGTTTCAGTGTTCAGGAGCACTAGGTGGAACTGACCCTCAGATCTGCATTGTGTTAATTGTTGCATTTATAGACAATGAAGTGTAGCGAAGTGTTATATTGAAGTGATATTTTCAGTTGTTTAAATATATTTACTTGCCTTACCAAGCCTAGAATATTATTACTTAATTTAGCCAAACCTGATCTAACTTATCCAAACCTAACCTAACCTAACCTTGGGTACGGAGCCACTCGCACCTTATCCATGACGCCAGCTTGCCTCACGTGTCAGGATGATCAGCGTCTGTTTGTAAAGTTTTTTTTTTCAAGTCTCTGTTATTCCTTTTTCTTCCTCTTCTTAAAACTTGATTAATCCCTCGTCACATCAAGTTGTTATATCCACACACCTACTTGTATTAGACAGTCCAATCAGCGAGTTTCCTCACTGACTAACTGGTGATATGTTGATGTATGTAGTTCCCACAGCGCTGCTGAAGTCACAATAATATCTGAATTTAAGTGTGTTTTTTTGTCAATAAAGAACATAAAAAGATAAGAATGGAGGAAACTGCAACGGGCCTATTGGCCCATACTGGGCAGTACCGTTTATACCCAACCCCTATCACTTATCCAACCTATGTTTGAAGCTATCCAGCGTGTTCGAGTTAATGGTGATATTTGGTAACTTGTTTCACTCATCCACTACTCTATTTCCAAACCAGTGTTTACCTATTTTGCGCCTAAATTTAAATTTGTCTAATTTAAAACCATTGCTACGAGTTCGTTCCTGGTTGGATAATTTGAGTACCTTTGTTATATCACCTTTGTTTAACCCTGACTTTAATTTATACACCTCGAGCATATCGACCCTCACTGTACGTCTTTCGAGGTTCATAATTCCCGGGATTAGTCTTGTCATTCTCCTCTAAATACTTTCTCGGGATTCTATAGCCATTCTGTAGTACGGTGACCAGAAATGAACTGCGTAATTCAAATGAGGTCTCACAAGCGCAAGATATAGTTTTAGGATGAATGGGTTCCTTCTGTCTACGATAAAAGGGTTCCTTCTGTCTACGATAAAAGGGTTCCTTCTGTCTACGATAAAAGGGTTCCTTCTGTCTACGATAAAAGGGTTCCGTCTGTCTACGATAAAAGGGTTCCTTCTGTCTACGATAAAAGGGTTCCTTCTGTCTACGATAAAAGGGTTCCTTCTGCCTACGATAAAAGGGTTCCTTCTGTCTACGATAAAAGGGTTCCTTCTGTCTACGATATACCGCTAAAAGAACACTATAAGTTCGTGTATCACAACTGAAGGAACGTTATTTCGGGATCTACCGAGACGACCCAGTTAGAAATAATATTTATGACACCGAGAAGAACCAACCAATATGAACACCGCTTTTAGCACTGATTGACTTCAACAATAGTGGGAATCACGTGACAATTTAAGAGTGAGTTGAGAAACCGGCCTTGTCAGCTAGTGTTGTCGTATGAGCCGTCTTTGTGATGGATCATGCCAGGTCATCCCCTGCTCCTGGATGCCGGTATATAGTCCGTCGTGGAGTCAGGCCAGGCACAGTCGTCGCTGGCGCTCACACACGAGTGCCTTCACTTGTCTCCAGCTTCCTCACCTATCAGAAGATCGACCTGAGAATCATCATGGTCTCCAAGACGGTGAGTTGACTACAGCGTTGTTCTTATTATTGAAATTATTTGGGGAAATATCTTCAGCAACTAAGGTTTTATAGCGTACGGGTTAACTGTACCTCCTCAACACTGTACAGTATTTGTTAAGTGGTGTACACATGAACTCTGACACTTATGATTTTTCTCTTGTATCATCTTCTTGTAATCTTAAATTCATCCTGGAGTGTCTTTCTGTTTCCTTCTCCACAGTTATCAATCATTTTCTTTCTCTCTTGTTACTTCCGTCGTTGACATATCCGTCTCCAGATCATCTCTGTATCATGATTCTAGTATTAATGTTATATTTGATCGTTTGACAACTTTACACCAGTTCTCCCTGACCAGTGTTGAGCTTCATCCATCCTCATGTTGTTGTTTCTGTTGTGTTTCTCAGGTCATCGCCCTGTGGCTCCTGGCCGCCTGCTGTGTTGTCACCATGGCCAGCCCCGCACCTAGTGGTGGATATGGTGGAGGAGGACATGGTGGTGGGGGTGGTGGATATGGTGGCGGGGGCCGTGGAGGTGGATATGGCGGCGGCGGCGGCGGCGGCGGCGGCGGACATGGCGGCGGTGGATATGGAGGCGGCGGCCGCGGCGGTGGATATGGAGGCGGCGGTCGCGGCGGTGGATATGGAGGCGGCGGATATGGTGGTGGTGGATATGGAGGCGGCGGCCGCGGCGGTGGATATGGTGGCGGTGGTGGTGGTGGTGGTGGCGGCCGTGGTGGTGGCTATGGCGGCGGTGGTCGTGGCGGTGGATATGGCGGCTATGGAAAATAAAGCGGTAAGTTTGTTTTCAGTACAGAGATTCATGACATTTCATCTTTTTATTATCAAATATTTTTCTTTTTTTTATTCTCATTGTCATTCAGAAGATTGACACCGAAATCTGATATATTTTTGTATTCCAGGGCAACACAAGGAGAGACTTCGAAGTACAACAGAAAACGCTGACTGGTCTCCTGATGTTGTGTTTTCATGCTGTGATTCTCCATGTTAAATAAACACCCATATACAACTATTATCTTATTCCTCCTCACCCTATGGCCTTAAACTCCATAACAAACCCCATTAAACTCTTTAACCTTGATGCTGTTTTGTTTCGGTGTTTTTAGAAGTTTACCGAGTCATAACTTCTGCATTAAACACGTTTTGTAAACCCCTTCCAAAGAATGTTAGATACTTCAATTTTACACTAGTTGAAACCTTCCATTAATCAACTATGATCGTTTTTATGTGGAATTCTCTACCACACAGCGTTTATCCTGAATCACGTGATCTGTAACAGTGTAGAACGTCCTACTTCAAATATCTTTTGTAATTTCTAGTAACAGGACGTCTTTGTGATTAGATCTGATAGTAACACTAATTTTATCTCTTTCTGCATTATCTAAAAAAAATCACTTCAATGTAAACGCAGAAAGAATGCGTGAAGATTTTTGTGTTCTTGTTAGCTATTATCTAAGAATTATTGACTACAAACATACTGCTGTTATTAAGTATTACCTAAGAATAACTCACAAAAAATTACTACACCTACAGTATATAATCTATCTAAACACATCACTATAATTGATATCTCTCCCACTTCATCGTCGTCTCTCCCACAGGTTATTTTCAAGCAGTTATACCTAAAATGAGAAGAAATAATTCGTTTTCTCTTATACTATACCTCAGGGGACAATACTGAGGCCACGGAATGAAATACAACTTATAATAAAAGGCACTAAATAAACAATAACTAATAAACAATTTAGAATGAAACCACAAAAAATAAAACCGGAATAACTTGACTAATCTATATCTATATAAAACAAAGAAGTATGTCTGTCTGTTTGTGTGTGTGTGTGTCCGCATGAGAATCTCGGAAACTACTTTACCGATCTGTAGTGATGATGGATGGTGTTATATGTAGTGATGATGGGTGGTGTTATATGTAGTGATGATGGATGGTGTTATATGTAGTGATGATGGATGGTGTTATATGTAGTGATGATGGATGGTGTTATATGTAGTGATGATGGATGGTGTTATATGTAGTGATGATGGATGGTGTTATATGTAGTGATGATGGATGGTGTTATATGTAGTGATGATGGATGGTGTTATATGTAGTGATGATGTTATATGTAGTGATGATGGATGGTGTTATATGTAGTGATGATGGATGGTGTTATATGTAGTGATGATGGATGGTGTTATATGTAGTGATGATGGATGGTGTTATATGTGTATGATGGATGAGTGATGATGGGTGGTGTTATATGTAGTGATGATGGGTGGTGTTTATAGTGATAGTGAGTGATGGATGGTGTTATATGTAGTGATGATGGATGGTGTTATATGTAGTGATGATGATGGTTGGTGATATGTAGTGATGATGGGTGGTGTTATATGGAGTGATGATTAGACAATAAAATAATAACAGTTTAATGCTAAAAAAATATACTTTGCTGTACCGTTGTAGTGAAAAACATGGTGGAACTTACATACACCGTTTATGAACTATTGATGGAAGAAGAAGTTTTGGGGACTGAACAGTGAAACAATGTGGAGCCTCCCGGAGGGTGGCGTCCTACCATGGCCTAGCGAATGAGCCGTTTCTGCAAGTGAAAAATAGAAGAAATATCGCTCAAATGATAGACAGAAAAAGTTAATAAAGAACTGAGTATGAGAGAGGGAAGAAAAGTGTGGGAAGAAGGAAGACAGAACACAGCAACTTGACCACAATAATCTACACTTTCTCATTAATAGAAAAAAATGGACGAGTCACTCATTCAATTGATCACACAGAAAAGTTACAAACAATTATCTTTTAACTTTACTTCATTCATTTTCGTTCACTACTTTTACTCCAGGCAAATTTAATCCATTTTGTTATAATGTTCAAAGGAGTTCATTTACTTTTTATCCTACAGTAGTTCTTTGTTTTGTTCCGTTCCGTTTGGTTGTAGTCGTGTGTGTGTGTGTGTGTGTGTGTGTGTGTGTGTGTGTGTGTATAATAATAATAATAATAATAATAATAATAATAATAATAATAATAATAATAATAATAATAACAATAATGAACGGTTTATTGAGAGAACATGGGAGCCAAAAGGTTGAAAATGTACAATAAACAGAGATGATAAAAGTTACATATAGTGAAATTGGGGAGTGAGTCACTTGATTAACAAAAGCTTTCAATACAAAAGAGAACCAACATGGATTAACAGATAAATTAACTACAGATATGGAAGTAATCTCGTTGGTCGCAGGCCAGCCGGTGTTGTAAACTGTTTGGGGAGTTGAAAGTGGAGCCTTCCCTAGGTGCAGAAGGTTCCATACCAAGGTGCAGCCCTGGTCTCCGGCTTGTCACAATCTGTGGTGTTTACACTTCCACCACACGGTCCTAGTTGCCAGGTCTCTCACCTCACAGGGTGTTGAGAGGGTTCTTACTTTATCCTCTTCACCACTGATCGGCTCGTTAGCCGCTTGGGCGATCGGTCACGTCTCTGTTACGCACTGTTGGCAAGTACTGGGCATACACCGGCTCCTGAATGTATCTGAACCTGCTCCAGTGTTGGTCAAGTGTTAAATTGAAAAAGAGCTCACACTCGGTGCCGTCACAACACTTTCTGGCAGATTGTTCCAAAAGTTCATAACTCTCACTCCGAAAAAGTTTGCCCTCACAGTTTTCTGGACTTGAGGCTTCTTCAATCTTGAGCTGTGACCCCTTATGGGGCGAGCGTCCGCCAGCTCCAAGTAAGGACACTCGACTGAATAGTGCCCCTTCAGATGCTTATACAAGAGGGTTCTTGTTTCTCATCTGATGTTATGTTGTTGGGAATTCTCCTTTCTCACCTGGTGGAGTTGGACGCTCTCGTTTCTCACCTTGTGTAGTTTAAATTTCTTATATCTCAATTAGTGTAGCTGTGAGCGTTGGTATTATATCTGGTGTTATTGTGGTGGTGGGTGTTAGGTGGTAAGTGGTCAGGTTTGGAGAGGCCATGACCACTGACCGCAAGGCATCGACTTGTCACTGTCTAACAGTTGTTTCTATTTCCTTTGAGTTGAAATTGTCACATTTGTAGATCAGTTGTGCGTGTTGTTAAATCTTGAGGGGAGGAGGAGATAAGGGAAGGGGGGGCAACAAACCAACCCTGTCAGCTGCCTACATGATCTAAAGGACCTCGGCCGTCTCAGCGGAGCATCACCGAATGCATCCTCAACTCATGAGGGATGTGTGGAATAATAATAATAATAATAATAATAATAATAATAATAATAATAACAATAATAATAATAATAATAATAATAATAATAATAATAATAATAATAATAATAATAATAATAATAATAATAATAATAATAATAATAATAATAATAATAATAATAATAATTAATAGTTTATTGAAAAAGTTCAGCAGCCGAAGGCTGAAAATATACATTGGACAGAAATGACATTACATTCAAAGCCTTGGGGTTGGGTGGGACGTTTAACAAAAGCTTTCATTACTAAAAGGAGAAGAAACATGAATTGAACATACAAATTATAGTTTACAGTTGATGGCCCGAGCTGGTTTCTTGCCCTACTGTGTGAGGTCACGTTGGCCACTTGGTGCAGTGACTTGTCCTTAGGTGTTGATATGAAGGACCTCACGTGGTCTTGGAGACACTGGGTGGTGTGGGGTGGAGTCACAGTACCTCACTCTTTGTTAAGTAGTGTTGTGTTATCAAAGGTCAGGTGTAACGCCGACCCACGGTTGTTCCCGGAGTGAACTGATTAACACCGCCTGGTCAGGAGATAGTGGTCGGTTCCCCGGGGTGCTTATTTCTGGGTGTGGACCTCACTGGTGGGTCACGGTTCTCGCTGGTACTGTCTAGTGCTGAATTCACTGGCTTAAAAACTGTTCATCACTGTTCAACACTGATCCCAATCCTTTCTGAAAGTAAATTGTCCCTTTTGGGGGGATTTTGTTGACGTCCCGAGAGGGGGGGGGGGCAACATTGGTCAGGGCAGCTGCCGCCGCAGCAGTCGGCGCGGAATAGGTCTTGACCCTCCGGTGATCAAGGAAGTAGTGCGTGCGTGTGTGTGTGTGTGTGTGTGACATATTCTTGTTTACAAGTCGAGTTAATGTCATAGGTAGTCTATCCAAATATAAATAAAATAGCGATCATGATTACATGAAACGAACCATTCACAAATTGATTAACATAAACATGGCCGTATAATAATTACCCAAGGTGAGAACACAGACCCCTTAAGTGTTCCTCAAGGATTTTCAGACCACTCACTTACACCAACCATAGTTACCTTTAATGCAGTGTTGTTCTCAGAGAGTTTCATTATTTAGTGACGTGTTTAAGACGCATGTATTACGAAATCTCATTCATTCATAGATTCTTAACCCCAGCCAATAATCCAACTCATGTAAATTAGAACATCCATAATTACAAAATTGTATTCATAACTGCTTAGTATATTATCACCATTAATCCCTTCACTACGGGGACGCTACTTTTAATATTTCATTTGGCTAACACAAATTAAAACCCACAGTGTGAAGTTTTACGGAGATATGATGGACTGGTGGGTAAAGGTACGAAGCTAAAAAAAAAATAAAGTGGGATTTATATTGTAACTTTATTTACAAGAGGCGTCACAGTCTATTGATAAAAATAAGAGATAATTCCAAATATGTTGTTAGTGGAATGTAGCTGCTTCTTCTTGTACTGTTCTGAAATATGAAAAAAAAACACGACATATCAAGATAACTATTAACTGATTTTTTATTGTATTATTAATTTATTTTTATTGATTATGAATAAAAACAAAAATGATAAGTAAGAATTTTAGTTTTAAATGCATGTATACGGACCATGGAACGAGACACTGTAAAGCCTAGAGAAAAATACAATGTTATTTATATGTAGTCTCTGTTGGTCTATGTATTATGGGAGATGTTATTGTTTTGTGCAGGTGGTTGACACATCGACGAGACTCACCTTTTTTACTTGCCATATCCACTATATCCGCCGCCACCATAGCCTCCACCACCACCACGTCCACCACCATATCCGCCGCCACCATAGCCGCCACCGCCACCACGTCCACCACCATACCCACCGCCACCACGTCCGCCACCATAGCCGCCACCACGTCCACCACCATATCCGCCGCCACCATAGCCGCCGCCATAACCTCCGCCTCCACCGTATCCACCACCACGTCCTCCTCCGCCATACCCGCCTCCACCATATCCACCGCCGCCATATCCACCTCCACGGCCCCCGCCACCATATCCACCACCCCCACCACCATGTCCTCCTCCACCATATCCACCACTAGGTGCGGGGCTGGCCATGGTGACAACACAGGAGGCGGCCAGGAGCCACAGGGCGATGACCTGAGAAACACAACAGAAACAACAACATGAGGATGGATGAAGCTCAACACGGGTCAGGTATCTATAGAATGTTGTATGTTATGGGAAATAAGATATAATAATGACATTTTCTTACATACTCAATGATGTTGTGATTTACGGAGACAGGAAAAATACTTATTCGTCATTATTATAAAGGCAATGTGTGCGACAGTAAAAAAAATATGGTTCTATTGATTTGATTAAATATGTCGTTATTCGGTATTTCTGAGTATTTTTTATACCAGTTATTAACCCATATTGAGCAAGTGTTTGGCAGCAAGTAAATTGTAAGTATACTACAGTCAACTCACCGTCTTGGAGACCATGATGATTCTCAGGTTGGTCCTCTGATAGATGAGGAAGCTGGAGACAAGTTAAGGCACTCGTGTGTGAGCGCCAGCGACGACTGTGCCTGGCCTGGCTCCACGACGGACTATATACCGGCAGCCAGCACAGCAGCAGCAGCAGGGGATGACCTGGCATGATCTACACATACCGTACCCCACCACCAAACCAACAGTTACACCACCTTCTCTTGAGCTGTCATATGGCCAAGTAACTATTGTCCACACGTTCCTCAAAATTAAAATGTTCTGGTATTGTTAAACGCTTCCTGTTACAATCGCGTTACTATCTAAAGCCAAACCTTCTAATGAATATGCTCCGTGTCATCTTGCCTTTGGTTTCATTCTACGTTCATTCTTACAATCATGTCACTCATATTATTGACTGTGTGGCGTGATAGGGTAAGACACAAACTCTCATTAAATGTATGTGGGTTTAAAACTGATAAATTGACTTACAGTACTTTTTTAAACCAAACTACAAGCCTTGAAGATAAAGATAAGTGCCAGGCAAAACAGTGTTGGCAGAGATAGACAGCACCAGCTCTTAACATTAAACAAACTGAACTTAACCTAAGGATGATAATTATGGTAGTAGTGATTGCTATTGGGTTATTTTTTCTTGATTTCTTTTTATTCATTAACCCCTTCACTGTGGGGACGCCATTCTTAATATTTTATTTGGTTTAGAGGGGAACCCGTACACACGTGGTTAAGTAGTGTCTTTCCTGTATACTATAATTTACGCTATGCATACATTTTCCGAATCATCTGAAAAATTTTCGCCCCAGCTTATTTTACCTAAAGATTAACCAACCAACCAACCAACCTAACCTAACCAAACCTAACCTAACCTAACGTAGTCTACCCTTCCCCCGATCATATCGTATTAGGGTGGTTAATCTTTAGGTGAAAAAAACTGGGGTGAAAATCCTGTAGGTGATACTATTTTTCCATTATGATTTTATTTCGAAGTAATTATTTATTTTTCAAATTTTTTGCTGTGTACTTAAGGTCTATGTTTCCGAAATATAGCTTATTATTATTATTATTATTATTATTATTATTATTATTATTATTATTATTATTATTATTATTATCATTATTATAAACAGTAGTAAAGATGATCAGTGTCTCTCAAGGATGATCAACATTCCCCCACACGCCAAGGACAGTAAGGCCACCCATCTTCAACCACTAACATTCTATTGTGTCTAACGCGTCTGATGAGTCCTCGTCTGTGAGGTAATATATTTGATTTATACTTTTCTATAAATATTAGTCAAGAATAAAATCCTGTTTAATCTTATTTGTAAACAATATCTCCTTTTCCTTCTGTTAATTTATTTATCATATATTTCTTGTTTATATCTTCCTGTGTGTGTATCCGCCATAACATCTTTACTTCCCGGGGATGTTACCTTGTCTTATAAACATATTACCTGTGATTAATTACCTTCCTTGTCATTCCCTTAAAATTATCATGTATATTGAGTACATGTTTTGTATATTTAGCTTTATATTACAGCTTGAGTCGATGCGTATACACGAAGGTTGTTACAGAGATTTCTTATATAAATACAGGAACTTAAAATAACGCAATTGTAATGGACAAAAAAACGAACGTCAGTGTTTTAGAATTCGAACCCACATTTCCATTTTAAATGTGACTTAATAAATCATATTTTTTTTTCTGTTTGAAAGGGAATTAAATAGACTTGGAACTGGAAGATAATGGTAGTTTTATATAAAGAAATTAAAGTTGAAAATATCGTCTTAAACGTAAAATAGAAACAGCTCAACAAGTAATGAAAGTCGACGTAAATAAAATGGAGAATATGTATAGAATTTAGTGAATCTTCGAGGAATTAATGAAAGTAACAAACGTAATGGATAAGAAGAAATAACAAGAAGAAAAGATTAAACAAAAACAATGGCTGAGAAACAACTTGGTCAGGAGCTACAGTGTGTTGAGCTCAAATTGTCAACAAGGCGAACCAAACAATCTCTGCTGAAAGGATTTTTCGAGTGCGTGTGTGTGTGTGTGTTAGACCACAAGATGTCTCAATTGTAAGAAATATCTTATGTTATGTGTCGTGCGGTGTTCTCTATGATTTCTTTCCTCGTGCTATTTTTGTTTTCATTTATTATCTTCTAGCTGTCGTTGGGTGATAAACATTATCCATTTGTGTTTAAGTTTATTCTAGGTTTTATTTTTAGTAATATAATCCATTTTACTATTTCATTAATTATAGTTCTTTGCGAGACTATTTCATAATTTATTATTCATTTTTTTTTATTATAGGGTTTTTGTCCTTCATCAGGTATTAGACTGCAGGTAACAGTTCATTAATTAAGACGCTTTTCTACCTGTCCACGACGCGAATTACAAACAATCATGATCAAGAGAAAGAGTAGAACAAAGATTTAGTGAGAGAAATTAGACGATGATATAATTTTGGCTCTAAAGTTATGTGTACTTATGTGGTATAGTCTTGATTATAGTCTGTTTCTTAAATATGAGTCGAAATTTAAATATTATGATCATGTGAGAAGAGTTTTTTGGGGGTGATTTTTTTATGGGGGTCGGGAGGTAGGGGAGAGGGGGAGAGGAGGAGGGGAGAGGGGGAGAGGGGGAGGGGGGAAGACACGAGAAGGGAGGATGAAAAAGTAAAAAAAAAAAAATCTATCAAACATATTTTATACATATTACAGAAACAGAAGGAAATTATAGAACGATTTTTTTTCATATTGAGGAAATAAAAGGTGTTTATAGAACAAAATTTATTCATATTGGTTACCACATCTTCTTAAACAAACATTTATGTTATTGATTGTACAGCTGAGTGTTCTGGCGATGTTCTGAATAGCAGGAAATCTATTCTTAGTTCTCTTGATTAACTTTTACTAACTACTACTACAATCATTGACATATTTCTTATTGACTTGCCATGAGAAATATTTTGTCGTAGAATAAATATTAGGTTTTATTATATACATTATGTTCGTATATATATTATAATTATCTCAATGGTGTAATATATGATCTAAGTATGTACTATATATTGTGGTTTATATTCACTGTGATTTATGGTTTTGTTTGTGGTATTTCTTTTAAATTTACCATTTTACTTCCCGTAACCACCATACCCACCACCACCATAGCCTCCGCCGCCATATCCACCACCGCCATATCCACCACCGCCATATCCACCACCACCACCGCCACCATATCCACCGCCGCGGCCGCCGCCTCCATATCCACCACCACCATATCCGCCGCCTCCATATCCACCGCCGCGACCGCCGCCTCCATATCCACCGCCGCCATATCCACTGCGGCGACCGCCACCATATCCACCACCACCATATCCACCCCCACCACCATGTCCTCCTCCACCATATCCACCACCCCCACCACCATGTCCTCCTCCACCATATCCACCACTGGGTGCGGGGCTGGCCATGGTGACAACACAGGAGGCGGCCAGGAGCCACAGGGCGATGACCTGAGAAACACAACAGAAACAACAACATGAGGATGGATGAAGCTCAACACTGGTCAGGGAGAACTGGTGTAAAGTTATGCAATATTAAAGTTACAATATTGAAATCTTTTAGTGGTTTCAATGCAGCAGAGATTTTCTTTCACACCAGAATTATCGAGGTTAATAGCTATTGATTTAAAGCGATATGCTAATCTAACATAGCCTACAAGTAATCCAGTATTGCAAATATATCGTTTTTACCTCAAGAGTGAGAACCTTTTTCAAGGAAACTGAATACAATCCCTCCATGTGGTCAATTAAAAGGAAGTCATAAATCGGCTGAACTTGCTGCGGTACGCCCTAAAATGATTGGTTTATATAAATTTGCACTTATAGGTTGCTGTGCCATGTTTTATACTTCATATATAAACTGATTTGTGAAATATAACTGTGAACCCTATAGTAAGTACTACAGTCAACTCACCGTCTTGGAGACCATGGTGATTCTCAGGTCGGTCCTCTGATAAGTGAGGAAGTTAAGGAAGCTAAGGCACTCGTGTGTGAGTGCCAGCGACGACTGTGCCTGGCCTGGCTCCACGACGGACTATATACCGGCAGCCAGCACAGCAGCAGCACCTAGCGTGAACCATCGCAAACATTGCACACATCAGACACCAACAGTCAACAAGGGCAGTTTCTCACGGTAATTCTCAACATTGTTCAAAATCATCACCCTTAAAAATTTTCTTTTTATTGTAAATCATTTCCTGGTTATACGAATTTAATGAATTATAATAACACTTTTGGTCTTGTATTAATTGGATAATTTCTTTCACAAATTTTTCCAATGTAAATTTTTTAACGTTATTCCCAAATATTTTCAAAAGTCAGGGTTTTTCTTTTATGTTTGATTTTTTTTTTGTATTAAAACGCAATAAAAAAAACTTATAATCCAGCCAATCACTGACATGTTGATTCAGCTTAAAGGTATGTATTAGTAGATGACAGTCCAGCCATAATAGTGTTAGTAGAGATACAGTATATATCTGACAGTAGCATCTCTGCTTCATCGTCTTGTTTGACCCACACTCCTCTGTACTAACCTAATCTAAACTCACACTCTCCCTCTTTACACAATGCTAACTAAACTTAACTTAACCTCACTTAACCTCACACCTACTACTTTGCTGTCACTCGGAATCGAGTTTGACGATCATCCAGCTATGATACTATGATATGAGTTATTAAGGATGTCACCTAAGTTGGTGAGTTCTAAGGAAACTAAAGAAGCCGACACGGGACCGGCAGACTCGATCACAGATGTTGCACATGCTGGGGGTTAAATCAAATGCAGGAGGGGCAGCGGAAGCGTCTTTCCGGCATTGGCGCTTGTCTGCCTCGTTATGCAGTCGGGGTAACTCGAAAGTATTGACACCTTCTTGTGTGGTGCTCCTCCAAGCGTTACGGTGTGGAGTAATCGTCTCCCAGGTGATGTGGTCAATTTACCACTTCTTCAGGTTTGTCTTAAGTGTATCCTTATACCTTTTCAGTTGCCGGCCGGCGTTACGTTTACTAATCGTTAAGTGACGTTAAAGTAGCTGCTTTGGCAGTCTACTGTCGTCCATGCGGGTAACATGGCCAGTCCAGCATAGTTGTTCATGGATAATGCTCCTTCAGTTGGTGTCAACAAGAATACTGGCATTTGCTCTCTTGTCCCCAGCAAACTCGGAGGAGGGAACGTAGACTACGTTGGTGAAAGTTTTCAAGTGCCTCGATGTGCCTCCTCCATGTGACCCATTGTCTCGTTACCATATAGCAGGGTGGGGAGGACCACTGATCGATATTCGTGCAACTTTGTAGATAATTTCAGCTCCCTACAGCTGAAGACACGGGTACGGAGTCTGTTAAAGGCATGAGATCCACATCTGATCCGATGTTGAATCTCTTCATCGATGTCCGCGGTGGTGGACAGGTGGGAGCCGAGATACCGAAAGTGGGTAACATTAGAGAGGGTAGTACCGTTAAACTAGATGGATGGTGGAGGTGTGGCTGAACCAGGGGCAGGCTCAAAGAGAATCTGAGTCTTACGTACATTCACCTCTAGGTAGAAGTGTGTACGTATACGCATCTGCATAGGTGTTCAAGATCTCTGTAGGTCGCGTTCAGTGTGAGCGACAAGGGTTAGGTCGTCTGCATACTAAAGTTCAGCACGAGAAGCTGCCAACACCTTTCTTCCTGTCTGGAATCGTGTTATATTGAAATGACCCTGCATCCGGTACGCGATGTCCACCCCTCTGGCTAAATTGGCGCTGGCACGAGTAAGGAAGGCAGCCAAGAAAATGTAAAAGAGAATTGAAGCATTCATCATCATTAATTATGGAGTTACCCTCGGATGAGCGGAGGGTGGCTGCGCCACGAGTGATTGGCCAACAGAATGTTTTCGTGGAATTGAAAAATTCGAGCATCTTGTGCTGATCTGCAAATTTTTGTGCTTCACATGTTTTATTTTTAAACCAGTCATTCTTTTAGATTGCAAAGTTCTCGTTGGGCCGCCACTTGCTTCTTGCGGAAGGTATCGGCTATGGTCCGAAACTGAGAGTTGTTCTGCCAGTCAGTTAAAGCAGCACGTTTATCGTCGACGAGTACTTTGATTGCCAGGTCATTTTCATCAAACCAGTCTTGGTGTATTCTTTCGATCTGGCCGAGGGTCTACCTGCAGGCTTTTTATTTTTATGACAGTGTCGAGAATATCCCATTCGGCACTGGGATTTGGGTTGTTTTTTGTCGGGTTGTTTATCAGCCCATGTTTGAGCTACTCTCTAAAAACATGTGCTGTCTCTTCCAGATGCTTAGTGTTAAAACCTCTTCGGGAGGCTTGCTGCCTTCGCCGTTTTGGGACGACGTGGAGTGACAGCTTGGCTCTGACATGCCGATGATCAGTGTCATAGAGGTCCGAGCCACGCATGGAACGGGTGATGAGGACATCTCAGCGATCTCTTTCTCTGACAATGATGTAGTCAATGAGATGCCAGTGTTTGGATCGTGGGTGTTGCCACGAACCCTTGAACTTGTCGGCCTGCCTAAACAAGTTATTGGTGATAGTGAGGTTGTGTGCAGCACACTTGCTGAGGAGGAGTAGGCAATTGGGATTAGCGATTACACCTGCCTAGTCCATTTCTCCCTATGGTTTCCTGCCAAATGTCAGCATCTCTGCCAACTCTGGCATTGAAGTCACCAAGGAGCACAACCTTATCTTCTCTGGGGATAGAGGTTAGCAGTCTGTCGAGGTCGGCGTATGCACTGGTGAAAAAGGCATGACGTGAGTGATTCAGTGGGACTCGGAGCGTCATGAGGCGCTCGTTGATCCCAATAGGCATTTCAGTTTGCCTGTGTAGGATATGTTGGTGGATGGCAAAGTCAACTCCATAAATGCGCTTTCTCTCTGCAGCAGGCTTACCCTTCCAGAAGAAGGTGTAGCCAGACCCCACTTCTGTGAGTTGACCCTCGTCTGGGAGCCGGGACTCAATAAAGTTATGATGTAATAGTGACCATAATCTTAAGGTTACTGAATATGTATGTGTTTAGTGATGAAAAGATCGAATTCGTGTTATCCATTATTGATCTTGAGGCTATTTTCTATTGTATGTCCAAATAATAGTTGATTCACTGACATTTTTATAAACCTAACCTTAACCTTATATAACTTTAACAAAATATAAATCTAACAAAATATAATTTTAACCAAACATAATCTTAACCAAGCATAATCTTAAACGCACATAACTTTAACCGTACATAAATTCAACCTTACTTAATTTTAACCAAATAACCTAAAGCTTTCCTAGCACTATCATGGATGGACTGTCAGCCGTTGGTACATTAATTATAGGTTTTCTTTATATATTAGTGAAGGAATGACTTCCATCTTTCTTGTTTCTCTTTTTAGGATAAAATGGAAATCTGTATCTTTGAAAATATACCAAATATGTTTAGGAAGTATTGAAGAGGTTTATTTGAGTGACATGTTTAGTAAAGTTGTTAATATCTAAACAAATATTTTAATTACTGTATATACTTCATTAGCAATATTACTTACAAAAGTCACTATTATCTTATAACCAGGAAGTATTTAACAGAGGAAAGGTATTTTTTTAAGAGTGATGATTTTGAACAATGGAGGAAATCACCGCGAAAACTTAAGACAAGGTTGAGCAACTGCCCTTGTTGATAGTTTATGTAATGATTGTGGTGGTTCATGCCAGGTCATCTTCTGCTACCGCTGGCTGCCGGTATATAGTCCGTCGTGGAGCCAGGCCAGGCACAGTCGTCGCTGGCACTCACACACGAGTGCCTTAACTTGTCTCCAGCTTCCTCACCTATCAGCGGATCGACCTGAGAATCATCATGGTCTCCAAGACGGTGAGTTGTGTGTTGTATTAAAGGTTCATTATTATTCATTAAATTATACATCTTTTCAAGTAAAAATACAATGCATTTTAGGTTCATCAGATTATCAGCTGTATCTATAAACCAGCTCTCGGATTTTTGTAAGCTCCCAATAAGAGAAACGTGTTTACTTTAAATAGAAATTCATCCATGCAATAATTAGTTCATATATTAACACTGCATCAGATTATTCTCACCTGTAACTTATGATTTATTATTTTACCAGTGTTGAGCTTCATCCATCCTCATGTTGTTGTTACTGTTGTGTTTCTCAGGTCATCGCCCTGTGGCTCCTGGCCGCCTCCTGTGCTGTCACCATGGCCAGCCCCGCACCTAGTGGTGGATATGGTGGAGGAGGACATGGTGGCGGTGGAGGTGGATATGGAGGCGGCGGCTATGGTGGTGGCGGACATGGTGGCGGCGGATATGGTGGTGGTGGATATGGTGGCGGTGGAGGTGGATATGGAGGTGGCGGCTCTGGTGGCGGCGGACATGGAGGCGGCGGATATGGTGGTGGCGGACATGGTGGCGGCGGATATGGTGGTGGTGGATATGGTGGCGGTGGATATGGTGGCGGCGGATATGGAGGCGGCGGATATGGAGGCGGCGGATATGGTGGCGGATATGGAAAGTAAAAAGGTAAAGCATTTTGGGTGTCTGAACCAGCAACCATAATTTATAATAGTTTCTGACCAGAGGTAATGTGAGATGAACAGAAGAGGAGTTTACACACATCTTGATTCTCATTTCATTACAATTAATAATAGGAAATGAGTTTGAAATATAAATTGTGATCCTTTATTTCAGAATATTACAAGATGCAGCAACAAAACTACGGTGAAAACGGTTACTGTAATATGCTGCAATGCGTCATATTAATAAACTGGTTTTAAGTCCTTATTCCGTATAATTCTCTCTAACCTTCCCCACCTCACCCACACACTCGACCTCCATCAATAAAATACTTGATCAAAATATTCCATATCTCGAACTGTAAAGTATTGCTAAATGTGAATAATTACTGATAACTATATATATGTGTGAAAGTTTTTAATATATTGATCTATATAATAAAAGACAATTTAAATACACTTTTTTGTCCTTTTTTCCTGTTTATAGGGTAATATTGTTTTATCTCCTGGAGCGATGACTAGATATCAACGTGATATCATCTGCTTTACTAATATCATAAACACAACACTACAACTAACTGAACAGGACGCGAATGTTGACGAACAGAACTACACGATTAAAACTTTATCTTACAAACCAGAAATTAGGTGACATATTAATGAAACACAAAAATTTATTGAACAAAACAGAAACAAGAAATAAAAGATATACTATATGAGCCAATGAACGTATAAAAGTATTCTCTCAGTATATAGGAGTTTAAGGTTCAATATTTGGCGGGAAAGAAAAACATTATTGGAACTGTTATTATTGACCGAGTATATTTTTCTCATATATTTTAGCCTTTAGAAGAGATTATATTGAAATAATTAATCACTTCACTAAATTCGTTAATATTTCCTAATAAATTTGCCAGTGGTTAATTGGGTTTATTTAATCTCGATGTAGATTTTTGTAGCGTATTACAACATTTTGACAATACGAGTTCTAAATAAGAATCTAGATCAGTAAATTCTCTAGTAACTATAATAAGCAACAATAATATTATAACTAAAAACAAAATACATCCCTAAGGTTCTATATATTTTTTACCAGATACTTGACAACAAATGATGAACCCAAACTAACAAAATCCAATATTTTATAAGAGTTTAGTATATGTCGAGTATTATACGTTGAAATAAAGCATTTGTGTTCCAATAATATTTCATTAATCATAGGTCTAGTTGTTTCTAGGGACACATCTACTCATATCGTGTAAATATAACGTTTTAATAACACTACATCATTTACTTATTGTGGCTATAACTCGTGTTTAAAGTTGTACCGTCAATGATATTTCTGTATAAACTCTGGATTTATAAACAGGTCTGAGATGCCTCTATATATTCCCCTTAACAGTATTTTCAGCTCAAAGTCATAATATCAGAATTCTCCCGCTTGTGTCAGTATGATATGTTAAATAAGGATGGTATTATAGTTTCTTATATGAACTGATTAAAACAGATTAATTGTTTCAAGCTTATGTTTTAACTTTTAAGGGTCTCTAATTACTTTACCTTGAATACCTGTCTTGAGGTGTACAGGTAACGTAAGGTAAAGTATGTGATATAGTAACCCTTGAGTACGTTAACTTAACCCCTTGAGTATGTTAACTTAAACCCTTGAGTAGGATAACTTAATCCTTTGAGTACTAACTTAACTTCTTTAGTAGGATAACTTAACCCCTTGAATATGTTAACCTAAAGTCTTCAGTATGTTAACTTAAGCCCTTTAGTACGTTAATTTAGCCACTTGAGTAAGATAACTTAACCCCATGAGTACGTTAACAAAACCTCTTCAGTAGGATAACTTAATCCCTTATAAACAGGAAAAAGGACAAAAAGTATATTTAAATTGTCTTTTATTATATAGATCAATATATTAAAAACTTTCACACACATATATAGTTATCAGTAATTATTCACATTTAGCAATACTTTACAGTTCGAGATAAGAGATATTTTGATCAAGTATTTTATTGATGGAGGTCCTGTGTGTAGGTGAGGTGGGGAAGGTTAGAGAGAATTATACGGAATAAAGACTTAAATCCAGTTTATTAATATGACGCATTGCAGCATATTACAGTCACCGTTTTCACTGTAGTTTTGTTGCTGCATCTTGTAATATTCTGAAATAAAGGATCACAATTTATATTTCAAACTCATTTCCTATTATTAATTGTAAGGAAATGAAAGAAATACTGTTGCTTCCAAAATGAATGCAGATAGAAGTTTATTTTCTTTTATTATTGTCTAAGTATTTGTGGTTATTGTGAAAGGAGAATCAAGATGTGTGGAAACTCATCTTCTGTTCATCTCACATTACCTCTGGTCAGAAACTATTATAAATTATGGTTGCTGGTTCAGACACCGAAAATGCTTTACCTTTTTACTTTCCATATCCGCCACCATATCCGCCGCCTCCATATCCGCCGCCTCCATATCCGCCGCCACCATATCCACCGCCACCATATCCACCACCACCATATCCGCCGCCACCATGTCCGCCGCCACCATATCCGCCGCCTCCATGTCCGCCGCCACCATAGCCGCCACCTCCATATCCACCTCCACCGCCACCATATCCACCTCCACGGCCTCCGCCACCATATCCACCACCCCCACCACCATGTCCTCCTCCACCATATCCACCACTAGGTGCGGGGCTGGCCATGGTGACAGCACAGGAGGCGGCCAGGAGCCACAGGGCGATGACCTGAGAAACACAACAGTAACAACAACATGAGGATGGATGAAGCTCAACACTGGTAAAAGAATAAATCATAAGTTACAGGTGAGAATAATCTGATGCAGTGTTAATATATGAACTAATTATTGCATGGATGCATTTCTATTTAAAGTAAACACGTTTCTCTTATTGGGAACTTACAAAAATCCGAGAGCTGGTTTATAGATACAGCTGATAATCTGATGAACCTAAAATGCATTGTATTTTTGCTTGAAAAGATGTATAATTTAATGAATAATAATGAACCTTTAATACAACACACAACTCACCGTCTTGGAGACCATGATGATTCTCAGGCCGATCCGCTGATATGTGAGGAAGCTGGAGTCAAGTTAAGGCACTCGTGTGTGAGTGCCAGCGACGACTGTGCCTGGCCTGGCTCCACGACGGACTATATACCGGCAGCCAGCGGTAGCAGAAGATGACCTGGCATGAACCACCACAATCATTACATAAACTATCAACAAGGGCAGTTGCTCAACCTTGTCTTAAGTTTTCACGGTAATTTCCTCCATTGTTGAAAATCATCACTCATAAAAAAATACCTTTCCTCTGTTAAATACTTCCTGGTTATAAGATAATAGTGACTTTTGTAAGTAATATTGTTAATGAAGTATATACAGTAATTAAAATATTTGTTTAGATATTAACAACTTTACTAAACATGTCACTCAAATAAACTTCTTCAATACTTCCTAAACATATTTGGTATATTTTCAAAGATACAGATTTCCATTTTATCCTAAAAAGAGAAACAAGAAAGATGGAAGTCATTCCTTCACTAATATATAAAGAAAACCTATAATTAATGTACCAACGGCTGACAGTCCATCCATGATAGTGCTAGGAAAGCTTTAGGTTATATTTGGTTAAAATTAAGTAAGGTTGAATTTATGTACGGTTAAAGTTATGTGCGTTTAAGATTATGCTTGGTTAAGGTTACGTTTGGTTAAAATTATATTTTGTTAAATTAATATTTTATTAAAGTTATATACGTTTAAGGTTAGGTTTATAAAAATGTCAGTGAATCAACTATTATTTGGACATACAATAGAAAATAGCCTCAAGATCAATAATGGATAACACAAATTTGATCTTTTCATCACTAAACACATACATATTCAGTAACCTTAAGATTATGGTCACTATTACATCATAACTTTACCTACCTGAGTGTGTTATGACCGTCAAGATATTGTTGTTATTTGTGGTTGATTATCTTTCCTTGTGAATGTGTCTGCACCTCCACTCATGGTAAATGTAAACAAAGATATCGAAAAAGAATGTCCTGATTTTATTTCGCTGTGTATTAAAATGAAGGCACTTTTATTCTTTGGCCATTAACTCTCTGACACATCATCTTTATACCTTGAAGATGTAAAGAAACTCGAAAAGGTCTGGACTGTTTTCTTGTCTTTGTTTACTTGTGTTTATCTACATATGTATATAATCAGAGTAAAGTATATAATAATAAGTCTTACAATAATGTCACAACACGATGATTAATTTTCACCAATTAGTTTTTTGATGAATCAGTAAGTCGCCATCGTGATTTTCGGCTTAATTCCTCAACAATATCACTTTCATACTCAATTACAACTTGGTGTCAGAAAAAAAAAAGTGATCTGACCTTTTCCTAACAATATTACATAACATCAAACGTAGACACATCATTAAATATATTCGTAAATCGAAAAAATATGATAATTAAATCTTACAATAAAGGGGATAGTATTCACGACATACTAATTGGATTTACAATTTAAAGAATCGTAGGTGAAGAAAATATTAAAAATAGAAGTGCGTGGTATTACTGATCTGTGAACCTACAATACCCCGCAAGATCACATCCCAGCGAGACCACAGCGTCTCCTAATAACTTCGTCTTTTAAATTTGTATCGCATACTGAAACTTACTTGTATGAATTTCACTCGAGTTACTGTGGATTTTCTTTCAGTTTAACACATACATTACCTTTATCTGTGTGTGGAGGTAAACTATTATGTAATTTCTTAAATCACTGTAACATGTTTTAATGAGATAAATATACTGTATTGAAATTCAGGACTTAAACACTTTTTCGCAAATAGCTGTAGTCAAATCAGGTAAATAAAGGTGTAACCATATGTACAGTATATACACCCGCATATAAAAACTCATACTTTATGTCATAAGAAAAGTCGTGCTCTTACCACCTACCTTGACACACACATCCTTCCATCCTAACTCACGTATTTCTATGGCTTCAACTACCAAAGCCTCGTGACACCAAGTTGACACTATAACATTGTAACTTTATATGAGAAACGGGAGTAAAACTTCAATTCCTAACATAAGATGTCAACCACATGTAAATGTTGAGTATTTTTATGTTTTAATTATTCAATACTCTTACCACAGGTGTTTGTGGTTGACGTACTACATGTTACCTTTGGGTCATCGACACAGGGCGATGACCTGAAAAACACAACAGTAACATGGTGATGGTATGACTTTATTTTATTGAAATACTATCAGTGTTATATGGAGTTTCCCGACTGTTTCTGTGATGAATAACAGATTAACAATTAATAAATTAATAGCAAATTAATACACATAAAAATAAAATAATAATAATAAAAATAATAACCAAAAATAAATACAAAATCGAAAAAAAAAATCAAGAGTGAGAAATTATATACATTATATATGTTGTGTTGTTCAAGTAAGAGAAACAATTGAGACCCTGAAATTGTGTGTAAATGAGACAGAAAGTCAGATCAGCAACCTGGGACTTGGTCACAATTTTCTTGATGCCATATAGCAGTAGGGTCTACCATTAGACAATACATTATGCTTCCAATATCTTCCCAGGCGGTAGTACCTCCCTGTTTGGTAGCTGCCTGCTACCTACTACGTGATAGGTGAGGAAGCTGGAGACAAGTTAAGGCACTCGTGTGTGAGCGCCAGCGACGACTGTGCCTGGCCTGACTCCACGACGGACTATACTGTATACTGGCAGCCAGCACAGCAGCAGCAGCAGGGGATGACCCATCATGAACCACCACAAACACACTACATCATCATCCTGGAAGATTCAGTCACCAAGGTCGTTTGTTGTCACTCCCGCGATTGTTCACTTCTTTCACTCATAATTTTTTCTTTCTTAGTGTTACATACTTTCTCATTTATTAATAAAATTGTGATATTTATTTCAATCTTTTCATGAAAGGTGAAGCTATTGAACACTTAGATTCCAGTTCATCACCTTTAGGTAACAATTACTTTACGGTAATTTTCCACTGTGCAGATCCATCAACGACAGTGTTAGGAATGATATGTGTCACTGTACATATTTATTTTTAGAATAATTAGCTTTAAGATTATAATTATCATCATTGTCATTGATGTTACATTATCCCTTAATTATATAAAAAGAAGTTCTAGGAATCGTTAGATTCTTATTCACTTACGGTACATAGTTTTCAGTACATTAATATCTATCATAAAGTCCGTCATATTCTATTTATTTACTCATAGATAATTATCGTGGCATACTTTTCATAATGGTTATAAGAGAAAGAACGAATTAGGGACAAGTTTATATAAATTAGTGTTAATCTTTTTATCCTTAACTCACGTTAAATGTAAGAAAGTGACTCACAAGCTTTAACATTAACTTGATTGCCTTCTTATATTATTTACTTTCACTAATACGTTCATTGCTCAGCTTTAGTTTCGTCGAAAGTCTTTGTCATTACTATATTCCTGGCACATTTGTCATTTATTTTTATATAATTTATTGCTATGTGTTGAGATCACCAGACATTCACTTCAGTACGACTTTATGTGAAAAACTCGATCACCAACTGAGTTCTTCTCTTTGGCATCATCTTATCTGAACACAGCGCTAATAACAACTGTGATTGAGAAGCGAACTATTCTGAGCGGACATCAAAACTTCTTCTGTGGTGGTTTGCAATTTTAAGCGGGTCGTCCTGAGGGTTTAATGTGAGAGGTGCATCGTCAGGTTAATTTGTGTCTGATAGGGAACCACCGCTTTGAGCATATTGTACAGATAATATATACAATATATGTCAGTACATATAATTATTCTTTACATTTTACTCTGATTTTTCTCACCTAATATTTTGTTTCGAAAAAACGTATCATAAGTCTACTTTATTTTTAGCTGCACGTACACAAGGTCAATATACTGTATATATCAAGATGTATATAACATTACAATATATGTGTAAAACTGATTTCGTACATTCAATCACCAAATCGGATATATTCTTAAAAAAATCTAAAAAATATCTGTATTTTTGTAGCTTTTGGGAGTAAATGTATTATGTTCTTCGGAAAAAAAAAATATTGAAATCTCATGCAGTTTCCATTTTCTGAAAAGAAACGAAACAGCATGAACACCGTAGAGGTATTAATTGTTACTGCCATTATCATTCTGAACTGTCAATTCTGACGTCATATGAGCTGTGTAGACAAAACAAAGGGAAGTGTAAAACCACGTTAAAAATAGGTTTACAATTTTTATTTTGAAAAATTAAAACAAATTAACATGCAAAAAGTAATAGTTAATTTTCACTTAATAAGAACATTATAAAGGAAGAGACTCAATTTGCATACATTTTTAAATTATATTTCTTAACAGCATATTCATTTACTTAATAATAAAATCAAGTTAATTCATATTCACATCAGATATGAAACCGATTTGAAAAATAACTTTGTATAAACTTAGTAAATCAATTTTATTTTATACCTGAAAAAGAAATTACAACGAAGATAACGAGAGCCAAATATTAATGGATAAATTAATGGAAATGTGAAGAAAAAATTATATGAATGAAAAGAGTAAAAATAATCTCGTCAACGAACAGAAGGAAATGAGTTTGAGAGAAGACTAGAGAAGAAATTCAATATTAAACGGAGGTGAAGAGGAAATGAACACTGAATGGGTCAACCACACCACGGAAGTGATTTTCCTTGACGTGTATTTGAACATGAACTTTTTGTCTACTTCCTTTTGTTGACTTCATTCCTCTTCTAATATCCTTTACCTGAATTGGCTATTACTTCATTCGTCTTTTTTTCAAGAAGTTAAGATCTATTTTTCGAAATTTTGTTTCCAATTTACGTATATAATATTAGTCATGTTTCTGGGCTCACTTTGGTCCATTGTTTAGTGTTATGTTTTAATGGTTCGGTTGTTCTTCATCGGGTTAACAATATAGGTGTTTGTTCATCATTAGTCCTAACTAGTTCATGAGTTCATTTCTGGTGAGAACACTGAGAAAATTATGTCTTGAAGAACATTCTGAAGATGAAGAGAAAATTACTAACACAATATTGGTCATTTTAAAAACAAGAAACTAGAGCTTAATAGTCATATGGAACTGTGAGTCTTTCATTGTATTATAAATTTACTGTAAATTTTAGTTTATACGATATAAAAAAGAATTTAAATAGATTCATATGGATCGAAATTCATAAAGTGTCGAAGTAAATGTTTTAGTCATGATAATGATTGAAGTGAGTAATGGTTAAGAGAATTAAAAGAAGGAACCATGTAAAAGACGTTTATTATTAACATTGGGCATCACAGCATCTTACAATTTGTGAAGCGTTTGTTTCTGCGTTGCTTCGTTTAGTGATGTCCTGAAACACAGTGAAACAAGGCAATTATAATCAAGCTTCAGTAACTTTAACGAAATAATACAAGTCATTTTGATAAAGAATACCTAAAATTAAATTTGTTTTATACAAAATTTTAATGTATATATAATTAGGTAGAATAAATTTATTTATCTGGATGTTATTCTTTTCACCTTATTTTTTTACGTTGTTTTTTCGACACATTCTGGGAAATATTAATTATCACCATCTGTGACAGCAATTCAGGCACGGATAAAACTTACCATTTTATTTTCCATATCCGCCACCATATCCACCACCGCCATAGCCACCGCCACCATATCCACCACCACCATAGCCGCCGCCGCCATATCCACCGCCGCCATATCCACCGCCGCCATATCCACCACCACGGCCACCGCCACCATATCCACCCCCACCACCATGTCCTCCGCCACCATATCCACCACCCCCACCACCATGTCCTCCTCCACCATATCCACCACTAGGTGCGGGGCTGGCCATGGTGACAGCACAGGAGGCGGCCAGGAGCCACAGGGCGATGACCTGAGAAACACAACAGAAACAACATGATGATGGTATGACATTAGTTTAATTCCTCTCACTGTTATATGGAGTTTCCTGACCATTTTTGTGATGAATAATATTATACATGGTGATAAGTTTTTTAATTAAAGCTTTAATGTGGGCCAATTTTGGAAATAAATCTCTGATGCTACATTCACAATATCTTGTCAAGGAGGAAATTGCAAAAGACCTGCACATTGTTTTTAAATGCATAAAATACTTGACTACTCAAATAATTTATGACGCACAACTCACCGTCTTGGAGACCATGATGATCCTCAGGTTGGAGTCAAGTTAAGGCACTCGTGTGTGAGTGCCAGCGACGACTGTGCTTGGCCTGGCTCCGTGACGGACTATATACCGGCAGCCAGCACAGCAGCAGCAGCAGGGGATGACCCGGCAAAAGTCACCGTAAACACTCATAAGACTACTACATCATCATTCACCAAGGTCTTTTATTGTCACTCCCGACATTGTTCACCTCTTTCTCTCTTAAATGTTTCCTTATCATTATTTTATACTTCCTAAGTTATTACTAAAATGCTTCCACAATTAATACCTGGGAATAACCTACTGAACATCATCACAACTAATAACTTGATAGGGAATGTGGGACCTGTGCAAGTTATTTTGTAATCCTATTGAATGTTGTGTAAATATAACAAAAATTGAGTGATATTTCTTTAAAAACAATTATGAAAGGCGTAGCTAATGAACTTATAGACTCCAGCCATTCACTAGTATATAACAATTAAGCATCGAGCGTCAAGATCCGGTTGTGACAGTGTTTATAGCGAGATAAGCTGCACTGTACATAGTTATATTGATGACAGTAATGCGTTTTGAGGTGATCATTATTACCATCATCAGTGATGTTATCTTACATCTAGAAACTTTTCATTAGATTTATGAAATATACAAAGTTTTCCATTCTTACTCCTTAACATAGAATCCTAGTCATGTTCTATTAATTTATAGTAGTATATTAATCTCCTTTACTCTAGGATAATTATTACCTCATACTTTCCATCATGCTTATAGGAGAAAGAAAGAACTAAGATAAATTAAAAAAAAATAGCTTCAGTTTTGTATCCGCAACTCACGTTATGTTTAACAAAGTGAATCGCAATATTTAAATTAACTTTATTGCGTCTCATCTATTTGCTTTGATCATTAAGTTTATTGTTTAGTTTTACTGTTGTCGTAAATATGTTTTTCATTATTTTATTTTCTATCACATTTCTTATCCACTGTGTATGAGATCTTGCTGTTTGTGTTCAATTTATCATACTTATCATACACTAATTCCCGTACGAGTGTATGTTGACATCTCAATCACTGACTGAGTCTTTCTCTTGGCAGGTCTTCTCCTCCTCCTCCCCCTCCTCCTCCTTCCTTGACATAGACTCATCCTGAAATACGGTTTCTTCTTACATGAAAAACATGACTTTTTATTCGAATGACAACTGTTGAATATCGGTCTTCGCGTGAACGAGGGTTAATAAACACTATGATGGAGACTGACTATTTGTTAAGTCAGTATAAACTGTCTTCGAGTAGATTATCTTAAAATATATAAATAAAGCTAAAGTTATATCAAATTGACGCATCGAATAAGATCTGAGAAATCATATATACTCAATTGTTTAACTTTTGGGAGTTAATGTATTAAGTTCTTCGGGATTTTTTTGAATTCTATTATATTTTCCTTTTTCTTAAAGAAGCGAACCGGCATTAACACATAAGAGGTATTAAATGCTACAGTCATTTTAATACTGGACTATTAACACTGACGCCATGTACTCTGTATAGATAAAACAACAGGAAGTGTAAAACAATGTTGATTTGCCTTATCTCTTTACCTTATTTACCTAATGGCCAACCACCAAAGGTGGACACGCAGAGGGAGGGGGGAGGGGGCAGTGACCTGTGTGGATCCCTCCTGTGTTCTCGCTAATTTTTTTCCAATGGCTATTTTGAAGCCCAATACTGTTCTTGATGCCATAGACCATTCCATAGGTTCTGCCTGACTCTGTTTGAAAAAGTAATTCCTTATGTTCGTTCTGTATGATAACTGGGCGAACTTGCAGTTATAACCCCTCGTGTTGGTGATACTTGACCTCACACCAAACGTCCCGGGTTCACGTTTTCGATCCCTTTCAGGATTTTAAATGTTTCAGTGAAAACTGCCCTATTGTGTCTTGTCTAAAGGGTTGTTAATCCTGCTTGGATAATCGAGATGATATAGTCCCGGAATCATCTTAGTCGCTCTGTGATGCGCCTTGCCTGGGGATGGTAGGTCTTTCTGGGACATACTTGAGATTCGTACAGTTGAAGGAACATTTTCGCGTCTTTATATTCACTGGTACACTTTATTATTAAAAAAATTTGATATGTTATCCTCACTGCTGCCACCACTTGTTGCGCCACCTTCACAACGCCAAGATCTTTTTCCTTATCGACAGTACCCAGGAAATTGTTATTAACATAATAGCTGCGATCAGGGTTGTTTTATCCTACATATAGGGTCTTTCATTTCGTCATGTTAACGAGCATTTGCAAGTCTCGAGACCATTTGAAAAGATCATGTCGGTCTTTCTGAATTGTTGCGACAGCGTCCTGACTTACTACCTTCCCAAATATCTTCGCGTCGTCCGCAAACTTGACACTGTGGCTCGATATATGTTCAATATTGTCGTTTATGTAGATCATAAACAAGGTGGGTCCAGAGATGGGCCTATTGGTACTCCACTGATAACCTTTTTCCAATCAGAATGTACTCCGTTTATTAACACTCTTGTTGCCTGTCATCGATCCTGTTGTTAATCCACAGTAAAAATCTTGGCTGTGATGTTATGTGCCTTGATCTTAGAAGCTAGTCGTGCATGTAGGACTTTGCCAAACGCCTTAGAGAAATCCATGTATACAACACATCCACTGGTGAGCCTTGGTCCATGTATGTAGTCTGTTACCGTTTCAAGGAACGTGAGTAAGTTTCTTAGACAGGAGTTTCTTTCTATGAAGCCGTGTTATTAATCAGTTTTATATAGAAATATCACAAGAAATTTACACATATAAAATTATTACTCATAGTTTACTTTTCGCGTGATAAGAACATTATAAAAGTGGAGTATTAGTTTACATATTTTTGGATGATATTTATAGTTAACAAATATAATATTCACTAAATGGAAATGTGAGGAAACGAAATTAAATAAAATTAATAAAATTATTCTCCTCAATGAAGAAAAAGATCGGGTTACCTGAAGACTTAACGAAGGAAAGTCAATATTAAACGGAGGTGAAGTAGAGCTAAGAACTGAATGGGTCAACCACTTCCCTGGGGTGATTTTTCATGACCCTTTTTTTTTAATATCAAACTTTTCTGTGCTGAAAAAATTCTTCTTTACATGTATATTGTCTTCTTTACTCTTCTAATATAGTTTACCTGATATGGGCTATTACCTCATTCTTCTTCATTTTCAAGAAGTAAAAATTTATTGATCTAAATTTGGTCGCTAACTTAGATATATCGTGTTACAGTAGTTGTGGTTCGGGGTTGACTGTATGGTTCATGATTTATTGTTGTGTTTTATGATTCTGTTATTCTTCATCAGGTAGAAGATTACAGGTGTTTGTACATCATTAATCCTGACCAGTTCATGAGTTCCTTTCTGGTCACTGATGAATTATATATATTTTCATGAGTACATTGAGAAGATTATGTTTCGAAGAACATTAGGAAGGCGATTAGAAACATATTAACACAAGCTTGGTCATTATAAGAACAAGGAACTATATTTCAATGGTTATTTCGAAGCATAACTGGATATTTTATGTAATTTTCACATTATAATACGAGTTAACCGTAACTTTTAGTTCAGAAAATATCTATAACAAACAAGTGATAGTTTTTTATTGCTCGAAATTGATAATGTGTTGCAGGCAAACCTTTATCGTGATCTTGGGGGAAGGGAGAGTGTGAGTAAAGGTGGAGAAAAATAAACAAAAGAAATGTTTAGAAAACGTTTATTATACACATTGGGCATCATAGCATCCTACAGTTTGTGAATCTTTCGTAGTTTTGCTGCGTCGTCTAGCGATGTCCTGAAATATAGTGAAATATTAGAATTATATCAAGCCTTAGTGACTACAACTCAAAAATTTATGTACTGAAGCCACATTGAATAATTTTTCATATTTATAAATTAAATATTTTGTATATAAAATTTTGAAGTTTATATAAATTGGTAAAAGCAAATTGTTTTGTCTGAAAGTTCACCTACAGTTTTTTTGCATTGCTATTCGACTTCTGGGAGTTATTTACGCCATCAAAGACAGTGATTTAGACACTGATAAAACTTACCATTTTACTTTCCATATCCACCATATCCACCACCGCCATAGCCGCCGCCACCATATCCACCACCACCATAGCCGCCACCGCCATATCCACCCCCACGTCTTCCTCCGCCATAGCCACCTCCACCATATCCACCACCGCCATATCCACCGCCGCCATATCCTCCACCACCGCCATATCCACCTCCACGGCCCCCGCCACCATATCCACCACCCCCACCACCATGTCCTCCTCCACCATATCCACCACCCCCACCACCATGTCCTCCTCCACCATATCCACCACTGGGTGCGGGGCTGGCCATGGTGACAGCACAGGAGGCGGCCAGGAGCCACAGGGCGATGACCTGAGAAACACAACAGGAATAACATGATGATGGTATGACATTAGTTTAATGCTATCAATGTTATGTGAAGTTTCCTGACC